AACGAAGAAAACTTGCAATACACCCTTCCGCTCACATACAACAGATTACACATAAAACGAAACCCCACTAATTCAACCAATCCAATCCAATCCAATATTTAGATACAAGGCAACAAAACTATCTACACATTGAAACAAAGCTTCAAAGCAACCACATAGGTTTCTCATTAAATAAATTGAAATCACTATCTCCATTTACCTGTTTACCAAACCCAGAACCCACGCTTACGTCCTCACACAAGCTATTAAAGAACCTAGCACCAAAAGCGTAAATTACATTCTAATCCCTATGGTCTCTCTGCAGTATTGTCACTAACATGGGAGGTGGAGGTGGTCGTCTGTGTTCCACCTGCAGAGCTGTACGCTCGAATCCAGTGCGCCAGCGAGATGTAGTGGGTCTTGCAACTTCCCTCATGCTTACCACAGGAGCTGCCACAGGGTATGCACACGTCCGCTTGTGCGCTCCCACAAGTACTCGATGCAGTAGGGTCGGTACGAGAAAGAGCTGCTTGACTCTCAGAACGTGAAAGACAAAAAGCAAAGTTCGCCTAAAACAAATGTCAACATTTAATACATTAATTTACATTGCAGTTTAGAATAGTATGTTATGAAATGTTTATCTTATTCAGCTATATATCATCGTGGCATTCATCAGAAATATTCATTACAATTTCGTTTCTCCCTATTTGTGAAAGAGTAGAATATAATAAAAATGATATTGTTTGAAAATATATAGATATTTAAAACTTAAAAAGGAGATAACTGTGTACAAGACTCCAGGCGCGATAGAATCCAATATATAATTAATAACTAGCAGAATTGTATCTTAGTCGCTTTCAATTACGTCTATCTCAATGTATCGAACTTTTGAAATTTCGATATATTTTCTAATTTTATGTAAAAGATTTATGGTATTGTAGTGAATTGTCAACAGCAATTTAAAATTTACATTAATAATTTTAGTTGGCGCGGCTCTTTAAAATTTAACTTTCATTTCTCTCATTACGAAGTCCTGCCTTTCTTGCAAGAAATTGCCGAGTAAGACCAAACAGTAGTTTTTGCAACACTAAACGGATATGCAAATTGTATTCTATAAATGTTTTTCCGTTTTTAATGTTAACGTAAGCATGTACTATCATAAAATTTATCCCAATGAAAATTATTCCCCTTTTGCAAGGTCCTGTTTGTGTTGTGATTTTTGCCAAGTTTTCAATCTACTTTAATAGGAACTGTCTTGCTGGTAGATATACTGAAGTAGAGCTTATATTGGAAACTGTCGATTTTATATTCAGTTACACTTTTTTGTAATAAATATTTTGTTTATTAGTTTGAACATTAGTTTATAATTGATAATATAAATGTGACTACAAAATATATGAACTGTTGTTCGTGGCTCTCTTAAAACAAAATAATTACCAGACATTATGCGTCAACCTCTTAAGTCCTTGTTTGCATTTATTACAGAAATTGAAACTATTCAACCAGTCGTGAACAATATCCTTACAGCGAGTTTAATAATGCAGCATATTATACAATTAAATATTTCAGCGTTTTTTAGGTGTCGAAATTTTTTAGTGTTCCCTGGCTTTTAATACCTTTAAAATTACCTAATATTTCAAAGAGATAATTTGAAAATTCCGAGTAATTTTTGTTGAAGCATATTTTCCAAATTCATATTGCTTTTTTATTTTCTTTGATTTTTTTACATTAACCTCATGTTTGAAAAGAAACAAACTTTTACAATGCCGAAGATGGCAGAATTGTGCAGTTTTAGTAATAGAGCTAATTAGTAATGGTGCGATAACAAAACTTCTGAGTAATGGAAACATTGAACAAAAAAACAGTTCAATATTCGACCCTGTCATCATTGAGCGTGTATAATAAATTGGGCGTAAAAACGTGTATGTAATTGAAAATAAAATTTCATGTGACGGCATCAGATTTTATATCAATTTATTCTCAAGTAGTTCATTTAGAAACTTAACGTAAACAAAAAGCACTTTTTTCTCTCTTTCTTCTATAAACACAAGCGCATTAGGAGGAATGGACAAAAGTTGCATTTGGGTCGGAGATACGGGGTTCACGCGTCCTCTATCATTGTGCATACTCTCAGAGTCATGGCATTATTAATATTTATGAATATTTGCTAAACACGTAACCTACTACATACGAACATTGACTCAGTCTCAAAATTTAAATTTAAAAACATTCTCACTTAAATTGCTAAGTTTTACATCGTCTGCTTGGATTAGTTTATCACAATTTTTGCATTTACAGTTATTACAAACAGTAAATTGCAAAAACAAATTTTTCGAAACCGTTTTTCAATATTGGACAAGTATCCTCACGAATACGAATCTAATATGCGCCATAACGTCTGCGTGCTTTTCGTTGAGCTCTCATTTTGCGAGATGATTTTCAAGATGCGAGAATAATGAAGGTTAGTTCTTTCTTCTGTAATACAAAATAAGTCTGTCGAGAGGTTGAAAATACTTTATATTATACGAAAGCAGATCTTTGTTATAAAACTATTCAAACGTTATTTTCATTTCTTTATTCGTAATTCACCTGTGCGTCGTAAAATAAAGTAGAGATAGAATTTCCATACATAAAAATCTACGCAGGTAGCGCGAAGTTAAAGTATATCCCCTACTATAAGAAAAGTATTGTTGACAAGTAGTTCTACTAAAACGTCTTTTTAATGTAGGACGACGTAAGTGCGTCTTATAGCGAGACCCGCGAAGACATCATTGAAACTATTTATTTCTAGGGATATTTACATGCCTGTTCGGGACCGCCGCGTCCAATGTACCTACGACTTTCCTCCAGAACGAAGGTCGCAAAATGGTGACCGGACGTTGGCATCTGTATCTAAAACTTGGCGTCTCCGGAGCAGAGAAGTAAATAGCGACTCCGTCCGGCGTTTTTGGCACAGTTCCCTAGTTCTATACTAAAAACAGCACAATAAAATAGTGAAAATAAACCCGTGTTAATTAATTTACGAAAAATAAACCATCTCTACTTCTTTAGTAGCAATAAAAATAATCAATTCTGAGAAATGTTTTAATGATTAAAAATGCGTGAAAATTAAAAGTTTGAAAACGAAACAAAAAATATAGATATTAATGATTAATGATTAATTTAGATATTTCTTTATGCCTCGAAATAAAAAAATATTTAACATTTGATGAATTTTTGCACTTTCATCAATATATTGGATATGGTAAATATTATTTCGTCACTCAGTGTGTGTAGTTAGAAAATGTCTAGTTAACAAGACTAATCGATCGATTTGCACTTTCGCTCCACATTTCAGTTTTGGTTAGCTGTTTTTCTATGCTTTTTACTTCTTATAAATGCCTCAGTCAGGTAAACCAGACTATAAATTTTAATGATAAAATGAGATTTATCTTTTATCCTAGGCTGAAGTCATGATTTCTTTGAACAAGTTACTCTCTTCGGGCAAGGGGCCAATACTCAAAAGAAATAGAAAGCTCAGAGTAAAAGAGACTATCCTTAAACAATATTTTAATACTACGTTTATAATGAAATCAGGAATAGTTCCAAATAGTTTTCAGATATTTTCATTAAAAAAATGTACTCTGTCATGAGTTTTATTTTTAGATGTCATTGAAAAGTTTGGTTTATTTCATTTTTAGACATTTTACACATAAATTGTGATTTTGGTCAAGACGATACACTACGTTCGTGCTCTATTATCAAACTTAATGAATCACTAATACAATAACAATTTTCTAAATTTCAGAATTTCCATTTTATTGAAAAACTAAATCTGATTAAAATTGTTAAAAACATTAAGGATCCTTACCTTTCAGACAATCCAGAAACACGTCGTGCTAGTCCAGAAAATAATGTTCCATAATCGCCCTCCCACGGTCACGACCGGTCACCTGTAGTAAGAAATGCAAACTGAGATTCAATCAATAACACGGACGCAGTGAAACGGTCAGCTGAAACGGCGAGTCTGTGGCTCTAGTCGTATCCTTCCACCCAAAGAAATAAGAATGTAAAAAAATTTAAAGTGAGCGAATCTGATATTTGGCGCGTTAAACCGAGTGTAATGGTTGTCTTTGTTGTACATAAACTGTGATAATGTTACAAGTGGTTCGAATGGTTGTTGTAATTGGTTAATATTAATTCATGGAAGAACAATTAGATTTATTAACTATTTATTGCCTGCGATATGACAGGCGATACGTCGGCCGATACCTTTGCCAAGGACGCGGCGTCACCCGGACAGACAAGAAGTCATGAAGTCGAGCCGTGGAAGACTACGTGTAAATTAGATTTATTATTGTGCAATTAAGTATCGCAACTTGGTGGCAGATTATCTTAACTTGACATTTATTAAGCTTACATTGACTAACAATAAATTACAAGAGATTATTTAATTAAAAATAATAATTAATAATAAATAGTACGAAAAGTCACGCGCAAGCCTTATTACACATCACTTCACTTCACTGCATTGCACTCCACTTAAGTGTGGCGTAATTGTTTCGCATCTTTCTCTCCACTTCATAACAGAACACTGCACTGCATAAATAATAATATAGCAATAAATATAATAATAATAATAATTATTATTATTATAAAAGAACTACTACTAACAATAACAATTAAACAAACGTATTTGTTAGGAAATACTACTAATTTAACAGTAGAAACTTAACAGTAATACATTAACCTAAAATATACATAAATAAAACTAATTAATTTTAAAATTTTTACAAGTTTTGAGGATAGGATTAAAAAATTGTCGCAGGTAACTGTTCCAGTATCTAGTATTTCGGTTTGTGAATGAAATCTTCTCCGAAGTACGTAGGTTTTCCTAGACAACAGTTAACATAATTCCAAGCTGGATATCCTGTGTATGCTTTGTATGTAGAACAGAGTAGCAACTTCATCTGCCTTTTTTTGAGTGACTCCCATACATCTCTATTTTTTTCTACCATTGAATCTATAAATGTTACATAGCAATTGAAAAAAAGCAATAAAAATTGAAATACCCTTTAAGTTCTATCATTGTAAATTTCCTAAACTTTAACAAAAAAGCACATCTGTAGTCGCGATAGCTAATACTGATTCAAAAGTTTACCACTTTATAGCGTCACGTATTGCAACAATCTAGAGAATCCATGGCAGAAAACGGAAGTGTTCTATTGTCTTTTCCTTTTATGAACAGCAGTAGTCGTATGGTTAAATGAACAAGTGATCATCATATTTAAAAATGAAATTTACTAACGAAGAGACGGAGTTTGATTCTTGTCATGTTGGAAAAATATATTTATTATTATCATCTTCCTAACGCAACATGTTTTTATACCGTTCTGTGGAATGATCTTTGTTTTGGAACTTCAGTAGAAGACAAGTTAAGTCCAGAAGAATCAATGGAATAATTCTCGTTATGATGGTTACAATTGGTGTTTCTTAGTGTGAAATCTACGACAACAGCATGAACTGTTGTAGTTGTGCCTCTTATCCCTCATTGCTACCCCTACCAGTCTCCCGTCTCCGGGCAACAGTT